AAACCCAAACCCAAACCCAAACCCAAACCCAAACCCAAACCCAAACCCAAACCCAAACCCAAACCCAAACCCAAACCCAAACCCAAACCCAAACCCAAACCCAAACCCAAACCCAAACCCAAACCCAAACCCAAACCCAAACCCAAACCCAAACCCAAACCCAAACCCAAACCCAAACCCAAACCCAAACCCAAACCCAAACCCAAACCCAAACCCAAACCCAAACCCAAACCCAAACCCAAACCCAACCCAACCCAACCCAAACCCAAACCCAAACCCAAACCCAAACCCAAACCCAAACCCAAACCCAAACCCAAACCCACGACTAAGGTCAGACCCAACATTTTGACTTTTATTCATCTTAATTGATTATCTCAATAAATACTCATTATAAATCAATATATTATATATCAATATACTCCAAATTGAATATATAATCATATTATAACATAATATTACATCATTATAATGACTTATATAAGTTAATTTCATATAATAGATTAGACAATTAGAATATCAATGAAAACATTTCAAAATCATTTCATATCAATATATCACCTTGCAAATCATGTTAATAACAATATATATCAATTTCAAATACTTAGGTATCATATCAGGATATTTAATATTCAACTTGTCAACTCACCTATACTAACATTGAAGATAGAAATCTATACCACTTCAATTCACTTCCAATACATCTATACATGATAATGAAATACATTAATATCATTTTGACATTCATCCATATCATACATGCTACATGGCTGATCTACTTGACACCTATAGGGATGTGACAATCACATCCACTATACAGATCATCATGAAACTGATATAGGACCTTAGTGAAGGTGAATAAACACTACTGTATCAGTTTCATGACAATTTGAAATCATTCAACATGTCAGGAGTGTAATCATGGGAATTATAAATGTCAAGATTGTCAAATCATATTAATTTTAAAATCTTTCAATTATAATGTGTTATAATGGATCAGTTAATCATGGTATTTCAATAA